TGCTCTACCCATTAAGGAGAGTGTTATCCGTCAAGTACAATAATGAAATACGACATGGTGTGCGCTACCTCGACTTCAAATTTAAATTGTTTGTTGAGGGTTGATTTGACTAATTAAATCACATAAATGGAGGCAGAATTCCCTTGAGCACAGATTAGGATCTGTGAACAATTCAGTTGAGTCTCGAAACGCTGCCTGTTGGTGAGTTATGCAGAAATAATAACTCCAGCCTTGCTTTGCACTCCAGATAGCCATTTCCAATCCAACAAGAACAATGACTTGTGCTGCAAGATGGAGTGAATTACACACATCTCACCGTTTAGCTTGTTTTGGTTCATATCTTGTGCCTCTGTCACAAGTTTCAGTAAACCTTTGATTTGGTTTGCTCTGCTGAAGATGAAAGAAGACACATACAATGCATCAAGCTGACTTAATGCTCTGATGTTAAACAGCTCTATTGAATGAGTAATTCACTTTGTCAATGCTGGTTACTTGCTGCTACATTTGTGGCTCTGACCTTCATTAATGTCGATCAGAAGGTTTGAAAAGCCACATTTGTGCAGTTTCGCCTTCTCAACAGCCAAACAGGTTTATGAGACCGGATACACTGTAGCCCTGTGAAAAAGCCACTGTCTCTTCCCTCTCATGCTCTCCTTTCTTTAATAACCTTTGAACCGACTGTTACAATATGGAATGAAGCATATTGCTGACAACAGCACACTCGTTTCTCAGCGCAGAGTGTGGTGTTACAAAGGGGCGGGGCTGTTTGCCTGAAACCTCTGATCAGGATCAGCTTTGGAAAAGGTCAGATATGTTTATCGCAATGTAAAATTATCGGGAGCCCACAGAACCCTCGCTCGCATTTATTAACCAAACACGTAGAAAAGCCCCTTGAATTGTGCTCGGATGGATTCTCGGAAATGATGCTGGTCATGGAGACAGCAACATATTGAACCTGTTGTGGCTCTTAATTACCATCAGGAGTGTTGCTTGTCTACTCAGTGAACGTGCGACACATATTTTACCTTTGTGAGCAACAATCTTTTACTCCCTTTTATTCTATTACTCTTTACCGTCAGTTAAATTGCAACACTCCGTAGAAATGTTTCTTCAACATCTACTGACTATTGCAAGGGTTTTTGTTTTCTCTGCACATTTGTTCTGCCTCTTTCCTGGTCAACAATTACGGAGGCTGGTTGGCAATTGGAAATTAAAGTTTTGACAGCCAAATTCATGAGGTTCATCTCAGTTCCAAAGCATGGAGAACCATTAGCATTCACAGCAGGAGGTCTTGTGAGTACTATATAAATATAAATAGGTCTATATAGTAAAATTGTATTCATAATAATAAATATAAAGAACGTATCGTACTATAGTTTTAATGTGGGCATATTTTATGCAGAGCCTTGACATCAAACATCATCATACAAAGCACAGACGTGGGGGGGTACTTTCTAAATCGCAGGAGGTTGCCTGGTAATACTAGCCGTGTGCGAATAGGGCTTAAGACAGTATTTGTGAGCTACCTTCTCTTATCGCGGCACAGATTTAATGACCTTTCATCAGGGTTACAAAGGAAAGCCACACGCTGCACCACCTTTTTAATAATCTCCTTCCTTTCCTAATTTAGATTTGATTGGTTATGAAATGCGCCGGCCTGCCGGGACTCAGGTTTCAGCATTCATCAGCGTTTCCTGGTTGTAAATTGATGGCACAAATAGAGACATACAGTACTCCCATGCATGCATAAGGTCATCGACACGGGCACGGTTAGTATGAATTATAGAGCTGCACCTAGAAAGGTTCTTCTTTTATGTTTAATGCCATATGCATCAAAAAAAGAACCAACACATGCAAGGTTATGCTGCTTGATATGAATTGTGTGCTGGAGTGTTGGAATAACTGAGTGGATGTTAGTTCAGTTTTAAAAAAATGAAACACTGATAACTCCCATGAGAGTCCTTCTATATATATGGTACAGGAGCTTCAAATGAGGAAAGCTCAGCTAGTTCTCTACCTGTGCTAGCCAGCACTGACTTGTCTAAATGTAACACAAGTACTTGCATTTACTACTTTGTCACTTTTTAATTATGGAGGTTTTGCGAATATGCAATAATCAGAGTTGGCAATTAGTCTTTTTCGACAAGTTGCTTAACGATAATCAGCTTCTTCTGCAACTGTACACATTTTTTTTGTATGAAGTCAAAGTTTTTTTTTCCCCCCCTTAAATCCGCCACAAAGTCAATCATCGACTGGTGGAGGCTCTGCGACCTGTCCAGGCTTTTAAAGGCCAGCCTGAGTCAAACTGGAGGGGACAGTGAAATCTCATATGATGGCAGATTTGTGTGCCAGAGTTCAGTGAATGCCAGCTTATTGCTATCGAAAAGGTCACCGAGCTAGAAGCAGAATAAAAAGCCTTCACTGGGGAGAGTGGTGTGTGTGTGTGTGTGTGTGTGTGTGTGTGTGTGTTTGGGGGATGAAGGCTGCCACCTGAGGTAACCATGCTCATATAAGCACCACACCCTCCAGCTGCATCTCTCTCTGTCTCACTCTCTCTCTCCTTTCGTCAGGCTTTGGTGTCTGTTACCTTCAGCTCTCCAGGAAGCCGTCGCAGGCCTTTAAAGTATACCCGCCTCTGCGAGCGCAGAATCAATTACCAGAGAGATGAAATTCTCCGATAACGCGGCCTAATGATAATTGCGCCGAATCTGCAATGATCTGACTTACGATACAAACCACTATTGGCACTGCAGCAGCGCATTGGCAGCCAGAGTAGCTGGAATATCAATGATAATTGTTCTGATGTTGATTTGGAGCCACGTTACTGCCTGAGGTAAACAGAAACCGATTGCAGAGAATTGGGCTCTATGGCAAGCAGCAGGGGTCATATTTCCTTCATGTTTGTGTGATTACAGTACAGCGGAGAGAGGAAATGGTTATGTGGGAGCAAAACCACGCCTGTTTAATTGAAGCACTCGTATCACATTGACTGCCGGAGACACGAGGGCGACAGCGCGGCGCAATCTCCCACTAATTCAATAAGCGCTCATCAGACTGTTAAAAGGCTGGCAATAATACAGTAATGATGAACTCAAATAGCACGGCTCCATCGAAGCGTCAGATACGGATGGTCCGCTGCTCATACAGCATTCATCCACAGCAAATACCAGACACGCCTCAGGTTCAAATGAGGATCAATAGGAGGTCACAGAGCCACCTGGAGGGAGAACTGAGGGTGACCCCGTTTTGACGATATGCCCCCCCTCATCCCACCCAACCTCCTTTGCCTTCGACCAACCTTGTTCGATCATGGGAGTCAGCGTTTTTTCAAAAGTGCCTGAGAGATGTCGGGCTGAATAATGTGTCCTATGAATAAAACACATTAGCTACAAAACACGCTGAATTATTCACATTTCAGAGGCTCCATGCTGCCCCACGCAGGAGATATTAGGACTTCAGTCACCGTATGCTTTGCACACAGTCCTCTGGGTCTCTGTCTCCCCCATGTTCGCTCCGTGTCGCTCTCTCTCGCTTGATCATTCTCTCGCTGTGTTTGTCATCTGTATTTTGTTAATCCCTGTCTAGCTCCTCTGTGCCTCCTCTCAGCTGACTTTCTGCTGATGGAGACCGTCTATTTATACTACTTTTTCCTGGAACATCTCCCTATTTATCTAAAGGGCTCTTGAAGCTGTTGAGGAGCGCATTTGTTCTGAGAGAATCTTTGATGACTTGGTAACACGCGCCGGCCCACAATGGATTCATCATTTAGCGTTAATCTGAGGCGACCAGCTGTGAGTTCCAAAGTGAAAAGCACCCGGAATAAGAAGGAGGGCGGTTTGCTAATTAGATACTTGACCTAATATGCATCTTTTTGCTCATTTTATTTTCAGCTCCGCCAGGAATTTGTGATTTCCATGATTGCGATGTAATTTGCGGAATCAACAGCGCCACATGAACTTCAAAGGGTAAAGCAATCAGCCGATCACTGCTTTTTATAGTGCTGTTTGCATATGAAATCCCTCTTGTCCCACAGAATATCACTTCTGAGTAATCCCGATTAACCTAGTGTGCACAATGTGGAACCCTTCATCAACAAGTCGATCACAGCAGATTTGTTCAGCGCCACAACGACCCCTTTGGGAACAGGACTACGGGTCTACGGCCGTGGTAACGTCTCTGTGAGGCTGAAAGCACAGCGGTGCTTTGAGCTAAATGCTAATGTCAGCATGCAAACACGCAGGCATTTGCCACGTTCACCATCTTCCCCGAGAGGCACAAGAGTCGCTCCTGCTACTTTATCTCGAAGTTGATCGCAAGGAAATCAGACGCAGTCATTTCGTGGCACTGGATTCCCGAAATAATCATTGAAATTGTGAAAAATGACAATATTAGTGAATGCTGGGCCGCTGTGCAATGAACACTTACAGCCCTGCGCGTGCAAAAGTGTTGCTAATGTGAGAAAAACAAAAGCCTGAAGTACTGGAACTTAAAATACTCATACTGTACATGCTGCTGTATTTTTTGTCCACCTGTGCACTGTTTCACCCAGAGATAGTTTGAATTTTTAGGCCACCCACTCATCCAACTCTGCTAAAAGACTGTCGCAACAGAGAAGCCGAAATCAAAACGAACGAGGGAACCGTATTTTTTCATGTGACTCTGATGTGTGTGTGGAGTGAGATGTTGTTCGTCGGTTGAGTCACAGAGTTTTCTGCAAGTGAACGGCACACGAGACAGTGTTTGCGGTGCACTCTCAGAAGCAGCTTTCTAAACAGCAGAACGTGACGTCAATGGGCAAGAGCCTCTATTTCTTGGGGGCCGGCGATGTATCTGAGTCACACAGGCTTTGAGAGTGTCTGTCACGGCTGTGGGGTCCGAACAAGCCGAGAAGATGCACGATACGCAGGCACAGATAAGACAGCTGCCTCTGTGTTATGTCTGCGTGTGTGTAGAATTTTTAAACGAAAGATTGTGTTTCTTCACTTTCTGCATGTACTCACCAGGGCACAGTAAGTCTCCGGAGGGTCTCCACAGGTGATGTTGGAGGGATCCAGAGTAACCTTCAGGTACTGGGTCATGTCGGCCGCCTCTGGCTGACAGGCCATGTAGTCCCAGGTTAAGCCTTCGTCTGAGTAAATCTGGGACTTGCACACATCGTAGTGGCCCCACGCTGCCGGGTAGTGCTGCATGGCCGCCTGGCAGATGCCGGTCCACAGCGCCTGCAGCGTCAACGCAAAATGGAAACGCATGGCTGGTCCTCTCTCTCTCTCTCTCTCTCTCTCTCTCTCTCTCTCTCTCTCTCGGGCCTGTGTCTCCTTCTGAGGGGGGTTACTAACGAGGGATCCCTCTACTACTTCCACTTATTCCAACTCACTCAACTGGAGTGAGGAGGCATGCCAAACTCCCCTCAGGTGGAGTGAGAGTCGGTGCAGAAGTGTCTTGTTGTTATTTGGTGCTATTTCTGTCCCTTTTAGGTTTTCTGGAGTGGAGTGTAACTACGAGGGATGGCCAGGTTACCAGTCCGTCGAGAAGATAAGAGGGGAGGATTGAGGGAGGGAGGGAGGGAGGAGGAGGAGGAGGAAGAGGGCGGGGGGGGGGGGGGGGGGGGGGGGGGGGGCGAGAAGGTGATAGCCCTCTGACACGCTGATAGGAGGATGAGTGACAGGTCTCCTCAGCTCGCCCGGCTGTCAATCATGGTCCTCTTCCTGCACGGCGATCTGGTGCTGCGGAGAAACAGAAGAAGGAGAGGGGGGGGGGGGGGGGGTTGAATATACCTCTCTTATGGGAGTAGAATTTTGACAGTGAGAGAACATTAGCTGCCGCCATGGCAAGAACGAGAGGCGTATGTGTGAGTAGAGAGTCGGATGGGTGCTAGGTAGGTGTGCCGTGTTGGTGTTTGTTGTCCATCAAAACACAGAAAATCAGTAAGTGAGGCCATCGAGGTCAATTGGATCCCGCGGCTCTCACACCAGACCCTCATCTCACGCAGCGGTGTCGAGCCTACAGTGTTACATTCCGTTCAGCTTTCTCCGTCCCCTCACACACCCCACACACCCCACACACTAGACACTGCACGAGCTGGAACGATAGAGTAGACATTCAAGATCTGATCAGACGGTGCGGTCTTAATCAGGAGCAGAACTGTGAGGTGCTCCACTTAATGTAGTCAATTAAAAGTATTTCATTTCAATCTACCAGTTCCATGGCGACACTTAAACTGTCCGTGTGTCGTATATTACTATCAAATACTACTGCTTATAGCCAAAGGAGTTGTGGGAAAAGAGAGACTGTATAGTGGATGAACATCTGAAATAGTTCTGAAATACTTTATCAGTTAGTGGACCGCCATCACTCAAATCTTTACATTTTACGTTTCAGCTCATGTACTTCAACCTGCATGAAGTAGAGCAGCTACTGAACAGTTAGAGACTTTTGGAGAGTTTTCCACGGTTAATATAAAAAGGTAAAAAAAAACACCAGACTTCAACTTGAACAGGATAAAGTGGCCACTCCTGATAACAACAGCCATACGTTAACATAAAGATCTTGTGGCTATAGTGCTGCTTTCACGTTTCTTCTCTTATGTGGCAGAGCTGTCTGTGGCAGGAGCCACCGCACTATATCACATACAGTGACTTACCTCCCAGGCTACACAGCACCCATTTATATCTGCCAACCATTGTGAGCGGTGGCCTCACTTTTCCTTTTGTCTAAGGTTTCTGGAGCTGAGCATCGGACTTGCCCCTGCTGTCCTACTACTGTTCCTTCCATAGACACACGCGTCAGTATAATAGCAAATAAACATTTCTTTATTTTGTAATTAGGACACACATTGCTAATTAACTCCAAGTATCATTATATTTGATTGACACTCGGTCACAGCAGCTTTAAATCTAATAAAATAACTGTATATCGGTAGAAATAAAGGGGAGAGGGTAATATTAGCATACCACAAATTGATCAGTTTCAAGAGATGTATAAAAAGTCTGGATTTCAGCACGGTGGAGAACAAGCTGTGATAGAACAACGAGGTGACCTGCGTAATGTGAGAAAGACAATACGGGGAAAACTAATATACTATATATACAGTATAGGAGTTGTGCTCACATTTAACGGTACACCAGAAGCCTGGAGACTATAAACGCCTTCCAGAGGTTTCTCTTGATTGTGGAGTATAGGATGAACACATCTGGAGATTTGACTCACAGACGAAAAACAACACGTCTCATGTATGTATATATAGGAATGTGGTAATAGTGATATTTACATTTGCCTTTTTCAAAGTGTAGTAGATCTGGAGCTGCATCTGTGTCTGATATTTTGTGCCATTCAGAGTAATTTCAATCCGATGGAATGTAAATCATAATTCTAAGGAACAGCCGAGTTAATTTTGCACCAGATGATCGAGACAGACGATGTAAAATCGGTACAAAAAAAACCCAACAAGAGCAGGTATTGCTAGTCAGAGGACGGAGGAAGGAGGACGAAGTTAAGGGGGGAAAGAAATGAAGCACCTTAAATGTAAAATGTAAGAATGTCAATGGGGGAGATGTCAGCAGGTGAGGAAGCAGCCAATTATCCAGAGGAACTCTTGGCACCGAGCTCCCTGTTCCCATTAAGAGACATAATATTACCGTGTTACGTGGGGGAAGACTAAAGAGATGGCCGGAGAGTGTGTGCGTGTGTGTGTGTGTGTGTGTGTGTGTGTGTGTGTCTGTGTGTGCGCGCCTCACGTGCAGAGGTTCAAGTCATGGGTAATGAGACAACAAGCTTGGATAACAAGCAATAGAGATCACAAAAGCGGTGGGTCATTATCACTCCACCGTCCTGGACTCAGCGGCCCCTTCCTTTCATTACTCCCCCCTTGTAACCCTCCGTCGCCCCAAAGAGAAGAGGTGAGGTGGGGGGGGGAGCGGCAAGGGGAGCAGATGGAAGAAGTGCGGATGTGCATTTTAAGTGAGAATGGGGTTTTATTTTAGGGCAGGTCGCTTCCTCCAACCATCGATCAAGGTCCGAGGACATCAGAGGAGCTCACAGGAAGTCTGACATTCTTGCATGTACAGGAATATATACTGCACCGTAGGCACACAGCGATAAACGCTTACAGTAACAGGGGGAGGTCGCTGGGTGTGGCTGCCAGACATTTTAGTTATAAATAGAAATAAAACGCGTATAATGAAGCCTGGTCACAGCACATTAATCGAGCACATTTTACCAGTGGCGTTACCTGCGGTGTGTTAGGATCAACTTGAAATATCTGAAAAAGTCAAATGGGAAATGTTTTTAAAATAAAAAATCAAAGCTGAAATTTTGTGTGTAACAAAAAAGTAAATGGCGTTTTTAAATAAATCCTTTAAATAATATTTTGTGCTGATGTGGTTTTTCCAAACTGCTGTTCAAATACCTGCTTACAAATCCTGCTTACAGAATGAATTAATATCCAAAAACAATTTCATAAAAAAAAAAAAAGTTCAACTACTGGACGCATGACTAATTCAACCACTAGTCTGCCTGATCAGTCTCCACATCACACTTCTTCACTGTACGTTGCATACTGGACCGTGATTGGCTGCCATACTAGTTGCGATGTCACTAGAAGCTGCTCACGCGTACATGTGTTGAACTGAGATTTGAGGGGAGCACGGAGAAACTTTCCCCCTTCAGCAGACCAATGTCAAAAAAACAGCCTTCTAGTGTCACACCGCACACACATCATTCTGCTCAAACATCCAAGTGGAGGAACAATAAGCAGTGGAGGACCTATGACTAAAATATGGAAAAATATATGAAAAATAAAAAAGTTAAAGCAGCAGTAACAAAAAGGGAAGTAAAAGCTGTTTTAATGTTTTAAAGATGTTTTTCAAAAGGAGGGTTTTAACACTAAACTGAAGATGAAAGGAAGTTAAGTAGACAAAATGTTATCCTCCATGTATGCAGGTATTAAACCCTTACAATATTGAGATAAAGAAATACTAATTTCAATGGAGTTAAATAACAATATTTATGGTGGAAAACACTGGATATTTGCATGTTTTTCTGGGGGGGCGAAGGTAAGCAGACCGCGAGCTCCATTTTACATTAAAAGACAACACACCCACTACTGGCACCCGTGAAACCGACCACTCCCCGGTCTCCGGGGCCAAGAAACAGCCCTCGGTGTCCGCTTGTGTTTCATCCCCGGGGCCAGTGGAGCATGACGGAGTGTTTCTCCGAATCGCAGGGGAAATGCCACACGCACGTCCCCAGAGCCGCTCTGTACTACTGGTGGGAGTGACTTGTAAATCATGCATGTCATCAAATGACCAAATGAAGGAGCACGTCCCTCATATCTGCCCCCTTTGTCTAACCCTAAAACTTCTGCAGGTGTACATGAACTCTTATCATACCTTCACGCTCAAATTGGCAAGTAAACACTTTTTCTTTTCCTCCTTCTGGCCACAACCACTTCTTCTCCCGTCCATCCACTTTTCAATCATTGCCCGTATTGATCATTGCATTCCTTACTGACCAGTGGTTTGTGTGGGTTCAGCATTTTCTCCTTCTGCTGGCTACAGTGCTGCCAACATTGTGAACTGCTCCAGACTCCAGATTTTTAGTCCTTCTTTGATCAAAAAGGGACATTTTTCTTTTCCTCACTGTGAGGACACGCTAGAAAGAACTGTCAGGTCATAATCTCACAGGACTCCTCTACGGTGGCCCACAGGGGGCAGTCCTTACACACCTGCCTGTCCATTTAAAATATATTAACACATTATATTATTATAAATGTCCCAAAATTGAAAGAAAACTGTCCGCTTTAGCTCTAAAGGATGTGCTCAGCACAGAGTGAGGTGGAATAATTACGAGGTTACCGCTCATATCCCAGCTACTTTCCCCCCCTTTCATTTTTAATTTCACGCATTTTATGCACTTTCAAGAGCAATTTCTGACCCCGCTTTTGCCCTGTCTCTACCTACTTTCATCTTTTCTGCCTCTACCTGTTTCATATTCCCCAGAAAGACAGGAGGGCAGACAGTCAGAAACAGATGAACGATAGATAAAGATAGAAGCTGGCCCAGCTTCACAAAACAACTAAGAAAATCCTCCTCCCTGCTCTCTGAGCTCCACTCACCATTTCTCTGCCTGCCTTTCCAGAATCCCTAATCTTGCCTGTTAACAACCTGCCAATAGGACCCGGCGTCCTCATGAATAAACATATGGAGAGTGGAGCATGGCCCCACAGACATGACAGCCAGCCTCACCGTGGAACAGCGAGCACGCCTATAATGCATCCCCGGGGCTCGCCTCCGAGTCAGCCCATCACTTAGCGCTCGTCTCCTCTTCTTAAAAACGTCGCCGCCTTCAATCGGCAGGCTTATGATCTTTTAATAATGACGACAGGTAGCAAACGGCTGGAGTGTGCTGACAGCTGGTTAAGTGGCCGCGCTTTGGGGATGGGTGGGCAGCTTCGGAGAGAAATCAAAGCTGGGGCTCGGCTCTGCGGTCAGACAAACAGCTAATGCTGCTGGTGTCAGGGCTTGTTTTCCGCCTCTGATGTGATCAACTACGGCCTGTGTAGAGAAAACCTGCACGCAATACAAA